CAACACGTGTCACTGAGAGTAAATCTGTTGTATAACTGTGGCCAGGTAAATACAACACGTGTCACTGGGGGAAGAGCTGCTGTATCACTCTGACAGGTAAATACAACACGTGACATTGAAGGAAGAGCTGTTGTATAACTGTGAAAGTAAAAACGACACGTGACACTGAGAGTAGAGCTGTTGTATAACTGTGGCCAGGTAAATACAACACGTGTCACTGAGAGTAGAGCTGTTGTATAACTGTGGCCAGATAAATACAACACGTGACACTGAGAGTAGAGCTGTTGTATAACTGTGGCCAGGTAAATACAACACGTGTCACTGAGAGTAGAGCTGTTGTATAACTGTGGCCAGGTAAATACAACACGTGTCACTGAGAGTAGAGCTGTTGTATACCTGTGGCCAGGTAAATACAACACGTGACACTGAGAGTAGAGCTGTTGTATAACTGTGGCCAGGTAAATACAACACGTGTCACTGGGGGAAGAGCTGCTGTATCACTCTGACAGGTAAATACAACACGTGACATTGAAGGAAGAGCTGTTGTATAACTGTGAAAGTAAATACAACACGTGTCACTGAGAGTAAAGCTGTTGTATAACTGTGGCCAGGTAAATACAACACGTGTCACTGAGTGTAGAGCTGTTGTATAACTGTGGCCAGGTAAATACAACACGTGACACTGAGAGTAGAGCTGTTGTATAACTGTGGCCAGGTAAATACAAAACGTGACACTGAGAGTGGAGCTGTTGTATAACTGTGGCCAGGTAAAAACAACACGTGACATTGAGGGTATAGCTGTTGTATAACTGTGAAAGTAAATACAACACGTGACACTGAGAGTAGAGCTGTTGTATAACTGTGGCCAGGTAAATACAACACGTGTCACTAAGAGTAGAGCTGTTGTATAACTGTGGCCAGGTAAATACAACACGTGTCACTGAGAGAAGAGCTGTTGTATAACTGTGGCCAGGTAAATACAACACGTGACACTGAGAGTAAAGCTGTTGTATAACTGTGGCCAGGTAAATACAACACGTGATACTGAGGGTATAGCTGTTGTATAACTGTGGCCAGGTAAATACAACGCGTGACACTGAGGATATAGCTGTTGTGTTACTGTGAAAGTAAATACAACACGTGACACTGAGAGTAGAGCTGTTGTATGACTGTGGCCAGGTAAATACAACACGTGTCACTGAGAGTAGAACTGTTGTATAACTGTGGCCAGGTAAATACAACACGTGTCACTTGGGGAAGAGCTGCTGTATCACTCTGACAGGTAAATACAACACGTGACATTGAAGGAAGAGCTGTTGTATAACTGTGGCCAGGTAAATACAACACGTGACACTGAGAGTAAATCTGTTGTATAACTGTGGCCAGGTAAATACAACACGTGACACTGAGGGTATAGCTGTTGTATAACTGTGGCCAGGTAAATACAACACGTGACACTGAGAGTAAAGCTGTTGTATAACTGTGGCCAGGTAAATACAACACGTGACACTGAGAGTAAATCTGTTGTATAACTGTGGCCAGGTAAATACAACACGTGACACTGAGGGTATAGCTGTTGTATAACTGTGGCCAGGTAAATACAACACGTGACACTGAGAGTAAAGCTGTTGTATAACTGTGGCCAGGTAAATACAACACGTGACACTGAGAGTAAAGCTGTTGTATAACTGTGGCCAGGTAAATACAACACGTGACACTGAGGGTATAGCTGTTGTACAGCTGTGGCCAGGTAAATAACACGTGACACTGAGGGTATAGCTGTATATACCCTCTGTCACCAAAAGAGATAAACATTTTTTGTTTGTTTGTTGTTTAACGCCGCACTCAGCAATATTTGGACAGCGGTCTGGAAATAATCGATTCTAGATCAGACAATCCAGTGATTGTCGTCATGAGCATCGATCCACGCAATTTCAACCAAGTCAGCGAGACTGACCACCCGATCCCATTAGTCTCCTCTTATGACAAGCAATGTCGCCTTTTACGACAAGCATCGGTTGCTGATGACCGGATCTTCACGGGTCAGATACACGTTTAGCAAGATAATTAAATAATCGATTATCGATTTTTTGTGTAAAACGTCACTGCAATAGAGTGACGTCCTTGTTTCCTGAGGGCTGTATTAGTACTTGTATTATAATGTACGGACTTCTATAGACGATATGGCTTGTGTGGCGCAATATTGCTAGCCTGATCATAGATTGGCCATATTGACATACGCCTTAGAATGATGTATAAGTTTAAATTTTTATATCAGATTTTAGCAGCGTAACGAAAGAATCATCAAAATAATGTACTCTTTTGGTGTGATTTTGAGTACCAGCTTTGACACGTTCTAGTTGTGTGATGTCAAAGCATATCAAAAGATTCACTTTTGATGTTTTGTTGCGGCAAGGCGTGCGACATGGAAGACTGCAATCTCACTGTTATACCTCCCTCAGTGTGTGATTGATTGTAAATGTTGGTGATGTCTCTTTCACCATTCATTTACCTTTGCATATCCCAGGTTTTCTTGTTGAATTCAGCCCGACCGTGGTCTAGTGGATGGGGCGTCTGTCCGAAGAGTTGAAGTCGGGGGTTCGACACCCGGCCGCGTCATACCAAAAGAGGTAAGAGGTGGTACTTGTTGTTACCCTGCCTGGCGCTCGGTTAAAAACAAGGACTGGTCGGTGGCATTACACTGTGTCTCTGTGTGGTATTCATGTTAAACTGCGGCGTGGTATCTCAGTTGGCTAGTACTATAAAAGCGGCACTTGTCGGGAAAAGTACAAGCAAACACACCCTGCAATATTTAGAAGGGATTGAAACTGGTTATTGAAAAAGAACTTATGATTTGCATGTAAGGATGCCTGCCCTAACTGAAAACAATATCATGTAATCTTTGCTTAAAACGTGCAATGCAGGCCTCTTGATATAATACTTCCTGACTAATCCAAATCCAAATTTACACGGAATCATCTAAAGATTTTAACATTGTTTTGTTAACTAACCTATTTTATGTAAGCGACTTTACGGTAACGTAAGGTATAAGTACACAAAATATATAGATACTTCTTCAAAAAAAAACTTGCACATATACGTTTACATGGTTTTTAGATTGTATTATTTGAACATGATTTCATAAGTACTAGTATTTGTATTGAAAAATAATACATTGTCCCAGAAAAATTCTTGAAAAAAGTAATTATGCCATGAGGCTGTTGAGAAAAAAACGAACTTATCTGCCATAATAGTTATATTTTTGCAAAGTATTTTTCTCGAAACAATATTCAGGCTCAAAGTTTTAACGGTAAAATTATCTGGTTTTGCAGCTGCAACTGAAAACAATATCTGATCTTCAGACAGAATCCCTGTCCTTCCGCACGCCCACCCCCTTCCCAGACTATCCAATGGTCGGTCCCTAATGCTTACGGACATGGTTTCGTGGGTTTTACATACGTGTTACGAATGAAATCATGTTCAAATGATGTAATCCAAAAATCATGTCAGCGAGCCTGATCACACGACCCTACGACAAGCATGGGTTGCAATTATAACCCAGATCTCCACAGGATATACCTCTTCACTGCTTCATGTTTACATCTTGTAATGAGTAGGACACTCGTGTTTCTTTAATGTCGGCTCAAATACACCTAATGTCATGCTGATTACAAACATGTGGCACCAACGTTCAGCCATTTCTACCCGAAGGAGATCGTCAAAGGATTCATTGACATTTGTGAAGACAAAAGGTGGACAACGGACGTATATACAATTCTATATACGTCTTTGGGTGGACGAAGTGAAACAATCTTTTGTTTAATTGAGGGTTTATCACAAATGAGACCAGCTTAATGTTTTACTAATAGGCCAATACACGTAGTCCCTGCTTTCACATCGTCAATTAGTTATCCGAATTTCTGATTATTAAGTGTTATTGAAACTGTCGTTAGTACGTGTATTTTGTACTGTTGTAACTGCAGTATGAACCACAACTGGACGAAGCTTGTGATAATTTTTTTGATCAGCCGATGCCACAATACATGCGAGATGAAGAGTTGATTTAATGTAATCCACTTCCCCGTGTCATAAGGTACATGTCCACCAAATACACAGATGCTGCTTCAAAATTAGACTGCACATATACGTTGACATGATTTTTAGATTATATCATTTGAACATACCTTATTACACAATCGCAGTAAACACATGATCATAATACATTTGTGACGGTGATTTTCCAGGCTATTCCTATACAGACATGCATGTATTCAGAATAGAATGCAACAAAATGCTCTGTCATAATACTTTTAGCTATTGAGTCAGACAGTGTTTGATTTTATTTTTTGGCACTCCAATTGTTTGTGAGGATAGCGCAGGTGAGGAACCTCTCCCTATTTCTATTGTCTTTTGTCACCATTGGGATCACATTTCCATTGTACCATGCAGGGGACGCTGGCCAAGTGTTCTCCCAGGTAAGCATATACTTCTTGTATATCTTCTTGGCTATCAAGCACATGAAGATCCAGGTTAGAATAGATCTTCAGCCAATCATGCTTGTCGTAAGAGGCGGCTAACCGGACGTCTGGTCAGGCTCGCGTACTTGGTAAATGCATGTCATTGTATCCCAAATGCGATCGATGCTCATGTCACTCGATGGATTGGCTGGTTCCGACTTGATCATTTACAGACCGCCGCCATGTAGCTGGAATATTGCTGAGTTCGGTGTTAAACCACCTGCCAGTTTTGCACAATGTGGTGTTTGACAGATTGAAGGGTCACTGCAGGTATGGTCAGTTGTACATAACCTTCTGACACTAAGCCCTGGTAAAGTTACTAGACCAGAAAGTGATATCACATATTAACAGAGAACAACCTAACAGATGAAGACTTGCCATCCTGATACACATGGCTAAGTGCACATGCTGAACAGTTCTGGTGTTCAGAACTTCACTGGTGTTAACCGGTTTTCAGAGGACTTCTGTCAGAGAAAATAACAATCATTATTCAATGGTTTATTTCTACATAGTAGTATAGGAGGCATCAACAGCTTGCAAAAAAGGGATTTGTGAGCCAGGTAATGTATGCACAGCACAGATGGGTATCTCATCGATGTTGATTTGTTCTGCCAAGTTTTTGTCTATCCTATTCTGACATACATAGAACATAGACATTGGATTTCAAGCATGAACAAACATAAATATAAAGGATATAGACTATCAATAAAAAATAACCATTGATGTACTTCCAGCATACACACAGATGACCAGTTACCCTAGTTCAGTGGCATTAAAGGTCACAACAGTACATATAAATACAAACATTTCTTGATATGTTAACATGAAAACTGTTGATACAATATCGATTAAACTGTTTTTACAATGACTTAACCATCACAACGGGTCTTGATCCATGAACAGCCCCCTTATAATACAAACATACTAATCATGTTAACAATTAAAGGTGCACAATCGGACTTGCATTAATTATGTTTTCTATAGCCCATGCTAGATGAAACAGTTCTGTCATAGATTGTTGTTCCTGCTGCACAGTATGTATGGTATGATGCTACACTAAAGATTGTGATGTCACAGTTGTGACTGTACACAAATTCACCACATACCATTTGTAAAATGAGTCAAAAAGGTAGATCAGTTAATCTCTGTAGGCCTCATAGGGGCTGGCAATACTTGTACTCCCATGAAGCCATGTTACAATGAGGCATGACGGTAAACATGGTAAGAGCTGGTGATACTTGTACACCCATGTAGCCATGTTACAATGAGGCATGACGGTAAACATGGCAAGAGCTGGTGATACTTGTACACCCATGAAGCCATGTTACAATGAGGCATGACGGTAAACATGGTAAGAGCTGGTGATACTTGTACACCCATGAAGTCATGTAACAATGAGGCATGACGGTAAACATGGTAAGAGCTGGTGATACTTGTACACCCATGAAGCCATGTTACAATGAGGCATGACGGTAAACATGGTAGGCAGTAAGCATGCCTACACAACTTCAAAGTTGTAGCAGCACTGTTACATAGCATACAGCATACAAAAACAAATGTTTAGGACACTGCTGAACATTAAACATATATCTTATCCTGTTGTGACAAGCTTCATATCCCCCCAGCACATTGCTAGGAGTCACTTTCAGTCGTAATAGACAATTATGCAATGCATGAATAATAAGATTGACATCACTGATGAATCAGATTTGCATACAGGTGTTAAATGCTTTTCACAAAGCTGACCACAAGGCAAAATTAATCACTGTCAATAGGACAAACAGCAGCATGGATATGAGAGTCATAAGTAGTAAATTACACAAAGATTGTAATCTGACAAGATTAATAGCATGATAGTTAAGAAACATTGTAATGTACTGAACAAAACGCTATAACGATTCAATCTAAGGAAACAAATCATGTTGTATTTAACTGGATTAAAGAATTTCAAACTCAGCATGATTAGTAATTGTCCTGGTCACAATCGGGGGGGTCATATTACTTAGACAAGCTTGTATACCAAGGACCTAAATGGTTACTTACGGGATGAAAAGAAGGTCATATGTACTGTTTCATGCTACAGTTGCACTGTCTCAACGTGACATTAAGTACGTTCCCGTTTCTCTTTGGCATTAACATTTTTAGCCATGTCCCCAAAACATGCCTAAATTTTGACTAAATTTGATGAAGCTTGATTGTTAATATTAAAAAATGCATTACATGTTATACTACATTAGCATAAAGGAGTAGCAATCTCTCTTCAACTGAAGGTATATCTCAATGTTGTATCTACACATTTTGACACTTCCTCACAAAAAAGGTTCATGTATGCATTATATTTTCTTGAATTTTACATACTATTTTCTACTCCTCATGTGTCAACAAACTGTGCTTAAGTATTGCTGGTTTGTTGTTTTATCCACCAATCGGAATACCAACTTTGTGAAAAATGGCATGATTATCAGGTATGATCTTGGTTATGTAAGCAGGTGCGGGTCATGCATGTGTTTTGTAGTTTCTGTAGCCCTATGGCTACTCAAGTACTTAACAACAGCTGACTGTTTGTGCTTTAATATATTTTACAGATTATCCCACGCTACTAATCTCAGGTCGAGTTGTTTGAATTACCCTTGAATGTCTGTAGCCCTGTAGGGTCCAAAGTTTCCTATATTAAGACCTGGTATTTTGATTGAACAGTCCAGTTGGTAATTTAACCAAAAGAAATATTTCATGTACATGTAATATGTAAACCTACAGTAATCTGATGTTTTCCTTCACTCTATTCAATTGGTTTTGAATATTTGGGACATTTTACAATATGTAGTGTCCGTAGCCACAGATTCTTAGATGATTAGATTTTGCTTTTCATTGAGTAGTTTCCAAAGAAAAAAGTTGTCTATTTGACATTTAACAAGAGTCTTTATCTTATTACAGTTTGTCTGTTCTCTAATTAGACACTTTGCAATTTGTAGTGTCCTAAGTTCAGGGCAAGTGAGTCAGTTGCCAAGATATTTATCTTTACACTTACTGGTTTACAAGTTTGTCATATACTACTATCTAAACGTCTTGAAAGGATTTCATAAAACTTACCAGATATTGATAACCATGTATTTAGAGAAGAGAAACTGCTTCTTTCAGTTTATTTACAGTTTTCAATCATGTTTCATATGCTTTCTCAGACAGGAAATACGCTGTTTACTTTGCAATGGGCCCCACTGTGCCAAGTCAAATAGAACACTTACCTGCCCTCATTGTTTTGTTGAATAAACTGTCTATTTCTATGTTAAATAGCATCTTGTAGTGTCCGTAGCCAATGGGATGTTTATGATGAGTTTGAGACAAAACCGAATGAAAATAAGAAAAGCCCTTTTCACTATTTTAGCATAAAAGTGCTAATATTGACCTTTTAGTTGTTTACACCACAAAGTACTTTAATTGCTCTTGATTTTTCAACATAAGTGCAACAAAAATGTGACCCCTGATTGTGACCAGGCTGTAATAGTACCAGAGGCGACAAACGGGATCGGGTGGTCAGGCTCCCTGACTTGGTTGATGCATGTCATTGTATCCCAATTGCGTAGATCGATGCTCATGATGTCAATCACAAGATTGTCTGGTCCAGACTTGATTACTTACAGACAGCCTTCGTATAGCTGGAATATTGTTGAGTGTGGCGTAGAACAACAAACAAACAAACAAACACACTAACAAACTACAATATAGAAGAAAAGTCTATGAAATAAGGCTGAAGTTGTAGTCATCAAGTACTTGATGAAAATGTCCATAATAGTTGGTTAAGTCAGAGATAATATAGGGTGATCTGGTAACTGGAGCCACAACATCTATTTTCAATTGTTTTCAATCACATATGCACATTTTGCAGTGCTTGACATACATAACCTGTCCTTTTATCCACATAATCTACAGCACTTGCAGCAAGTGTCCATGCACAAACAGGCCTCCTAAGTCTAGAGTTTCTTCTATGTTGCCCAGTAGTCATAGTCTTGATCATAGATGTCATCATCATCATCCAGGTCTATCATGTCATCTTCATCCCACACATACGAATGGTTGGAGTAGTCGTAGGAGTAATTGTCAATAGAATATTCATCATCATCATCAGGATTGTCAGAATAGGCTATGTCATATGTTGCCTGACTGCGGCGTGTCACATACTGACAATGAGGACAGTGTATGTGGCAGCGAACGTGATCGCGAGGCATTTTGCCCACACACACAGCACTCCCCATCAGAGCCTCAGGCATGTCCTCTACCTTGATCCACTGTTTCTTCTCAAGGCTGTACTTGAACACTGACTTCAATGGTTCCTTGGTCTCAAGGCTCTTTCCCCCAAAAACATAAAACTCATCTTTACAACATGTGTACGAGAAATCCACACGATCTCCATTTTCTGGAGGAAGGGGAATCCCAAAGTCTTTCTTCGGCTTCCACTTTCTGTCCTGGAATGAGAACACACGAGTAGACATTTTCCCAGGTTTGCCAACCATAATTCCATCTGCATACGGAAACATGTAGTTCTCGAATATGCACCCTCGTGATGAATCATACCTGCGTTCAGATTTCGTATCAAAGTAGACAAACTTAGCACTATGTCTGCTCTTCTTGCCGCCTTTATCCCCACATTTCCAGCCAGACACACACACATAGGTGTTGTTCACTGCACAGACATTGATCTCGGTGTTGGGATTTCTAGGAAACAGTTTACACTTGATGGTGCTTTCCTCGGCACTCTGGTTTATCTCCATCAAGAAACATGTCCACGCCGTGCTCTGACTAGCATGAGCTGCTGCTGCAGCTGCTCCACTGGGAGTCTGGTTCTTCTTCAACATGCCAGAAGCTATGAAGAAAACCCTGTTGGCACAACAAACCATGTTCTGGATGGTTACATTCTCACAGCTTGAAGGGAACACTACTTTAATGCTGGTCCACGTCTTGTCAGCTACTCTGTACTGAAACAGATACAGTTCCTCTAATCCATTAGAGTTGTCGTACACAAACAAGTTCCCACTTTCATCACAGACAAGCATTGGTCGTCGCATGGCATATGGCAAAGGTGCTAACTCAGTCCATCGTTTCTCCTCTATGACGTAAGCAAACATGTTATTGACAGACATGAAGTCTGAATATGGAAGCATGAAGTGGCCGATGTACACACCTGGGCCACTGCCACCACAGATGAGGATCACATTCTTCTGTTCATTGTTGTGAGTAAGCATTCCAAACATTTGTTTCACTTTTACATTCAACAGATGAACTTTACACCTTTCAAACTTCACAACCAGTGGGCAATGCTCAACTGTGTCTTCTAGGAATGATTTGCTCATTTTAGTGAGGTCCAAACACTCAAACAGTTCAGGAAAGCTGTCTTCTCGTTGATCTAACTCATGCACCGTCCATCTGAAAATGAAATCAAAGAACTCCTCTTGGGATACATAGGAGAGTGTCTCATCCGTCAACAAGGACACAATGGACTCCTTGGTTAGAACCAAGATGTCATCTTTGCCCATAACTTCAGGCAAGTGCCCTCTGAGAAACTGGAATGCTCTGTTGTATAGGTCAAGGTCATACAAACTGGCCATCAGTGATAAGTTGACACAGTTGTCGATGTTGATGTCAACGAGGAAGAGGTAGTCACTGCAGCACTTCTTCATGTCCGTTATCTGGAGGTACTCGGCAGCCTCAAGCAGCTCCTTCACGACGTCCATGTTGACCTCCACAGTGCCAACATACAGGAACTTCACTGCCTCTTTCATAGCCCATGCACTGCCAAATGATAGGTGTACCTCACCTGCAACAGAAATCATGCATTCAACTAGTGGTCAAAAATAGAGCAGTTTCTACTCCTATGAAGTGCAACGATATGGTAGGGTCGTGATATGATATGTAACCTGACACTATGGGTGCAATAGTATCCCAAAACAGTACTTTTATTTCATAATTTGACATTCTTTCTTTCTGCAGGTGAATTACACCTTGAATCATTTCTTCTTAAATTTCAGAGATCACAAATGGAATATTGTAGGGAAGAGACGAATAGGCTAGAGGGAACTGTGAATGTTATGCTATTTATTGCCAATACTAGAGAATGTGTTTAAGCTGGTTGTTGAAAGTTTTGATTAGCATTTTAAATCTAATTATTCACATGTTTTTACACCATTATAACTTGTAATGTAATGTTTTGCTATAAAGGGGTTGTAAGTTGATGTATTGAATCTTAGGCCTCGTATAGGAATACAATATTGTATCATCATATTGGTACAGTCCTACTTGGAGTAGGATCATACTACTTAATCCACTAACAGTTACCCATTCACATTTTCCCGAGGCAAGAGTGTCCACTAGCCTATGTCAAAGCCTAGCTTCTGTGTTTGCCATTTCTAGTCTACTCTTCCATGCTAAAATGTAAGAGGACTATTGCACATATCATTGGTCCAATCACAAATCAACATCCATGTTCGGAAAAGGTGGTCGCTATGGCCACAGTCCAGTCATCGCCTGTTGGAATTTGGAATAGGTTAAGATAATGCTCAATCAATTGTCAATCAACTGACCCAAGTACTTTTATTTATATGAGTGCAAATTTCATTGTATTTCAACTCTAACAACTGATTGAGATGCAGTGTCACTTTTAGAAGACCCCCCCCCCCCCCAAACTGAACGCTTCAAAAGGGGGAGTCTTGGTGGTGTAAATTTAAAAGGGATGGAGACTCGCAATAATTTCATGACGCATTAGGGGTCGGCGCTCGCTTTACAATGTACAGTTATTTTGTGTACCGTGTTAAACAAATAAACATGTTCAGGTAATGCCTGCATTTGATTAATAAACAAGAGTTTGCCACTAACATGGCTATGTCCCCCGCCCCTGTTGCAGAATTTATGACATAATTAAATCTAAACAAACCCTAACCTTTTTTAACCGAGGTAAAACTTGTCATGGAAATTGTAAAAAAAAGAAGAGTTTGGAACCTAAGTACATCTTGTTGTGATGGAAATGTAAAAAATAAAAATTTCTAAAGTTTCTAAATAGCAAAAGGCACCAGTTCAGCATGTACCTGACAGACCTGCACTGTGTCATGAAAAAATATTGAACGGTTTATGAGTTATGCTCCGGAAACGAACCCTACCCTCACAGAACCTAAGTCCATCTTGTTGCCATGGAAACATAAAAAATAAAAATTTCTAAAATTTCTAAATAGCAAAAGGTACCAGTTCAGCATGTACTTGACAGACCTGCAAAGTTTCATGAAAATATTTTGAACGGTTTCTGAGTTATGCCCCGGAAACAAAACGTGATGGAAGAAGCCCGTTTCTATATCCCCAGCCAACTTTGTTGGGTGGGGGAAAACAAGGATTTGTAAAGCAACACAGGAAAACAATCATATTTTAATCAAATATGCAGCTTATCTCAAGCTGTGACATGCTTACTTGCTGTTTTCTCCCTCATGCCACTGTCATAGAGAGACTGGAAGAATGGGCACGACACCAACATACACCAATGAGCCTTGATCTCCTGCACACAGAAAAATACTTTACATAGTATTTCATATAGTACACACCTTACACGATTGTTCATATAATACATTACTTATCATTCATTTTATACATACTTTACACGATTGTTCATATAATACATACTTTACACATCATTCATGTAATACATATTTTACATGATTGTTCATATAATACATACTTTACGCGATTGTTCATATAATACATACTTTACACATCATTCATGTAATACATATTTTACGCGATTGTTCATATAATACATACTTTACACAATTGTTCATATAATACATACTTTACACGATTGTTCATATAATACATACTTTACACAATTGTTCATATAATACATACTTTACACATCATTCATGTAATACATATTTTACATGATTGTTCATATAATACATACTTTACACGATTGTTCATATAATACATACTTTACACAATTGTTCATATAATACATACTTTACACATCATTCATGTAATACAGACTTTACATGATTGTTCATATTATACAGACTTTACACGATTGTTCATATGAAACATACTTTACACGATTGTTCATATAATACATACTTTACATGATTGTTCATATGATACATACTTTACACAATTGTTCATATAATACATTCTTTACATGATTATTCATATAATACATACTTTACATGATTGTTCATATAATACATACTTTACATGATTGTTCATATAATACATACTCTACACGATTGTTCATATAATACATACTTTACACAATTGTTCATATAATACATACTTTACACGATTGTTCATATAATACATACTCTACACGATTGTTCATATAATACATACTCTACACGATTGTTCATATAATACATACTTTACACGATTGTTCATATAATACATACTTTACACAATTGTTCATATTATACATACTTTACATGATTGTTCATATAATACATACTCTACACGATTGTTCATATAATACATACTTTACATGATTGTTCATATAATACATACTTCACACGATTGTTCATATAATACATACTTTACACGATTGTTCATATAATACATACTTCACACGATTGTTCATATAATACATACTTTACACGATTGTTCATACAATACATACTTCACACGATTGTTCATATAATACATACTTTACACGATTGTTCATATAATACATACTTCACACGATTGTTCATATAATACATACTTCACACGATTGTTCATATAATACATACTTTACACGATTGTTCATATAATACATACTTAAGACTACTAGTGTCCTGCCACTGTTCACTTAGTAATTACCTTCACAGGAGAAAAGATTTCACGCAAAATGCATCTAATGTCTATTCCTGCCGACGTCAGTACCTCTGACAACCCAGGGAGTTTGGGTACAGACTAATATTAGTTTACACTCTGTTTCACTTTGTACTGTCAAGTATGACAAGCAGACTTTCACGATTGATATGGTGTCACATTTTGTTCTGTTGATAATTACTAACTAACTTTTGTAGTTAAGGACTAACAAACAAACATCAGGCCTCAAAGTATATTTTTTCCCCAAAGAGCCATTGGGCCCTGACAACTGTTTTCAGCAAGACAATGTCAAATTCAAGAAGCCTTGTAAATACTTAAGGAACCAAACTTCAAGATAATAGTCAGTAATGCATAATACTGTCAAAGCATATCTAATCTGCCTAACTGCAGCAATAGAGATTCCTGCCTTTGGTGTGACAAGCTTCGTTGTTAATTATGTTGTAAATACTTGAATAGATTATTGATTTATTATTTATTATTTTTTACCTCACAATTCCCATGATGATTTTTAGATTTTTATAATGTCTTTTATTATGCAGTTAGTGACATCAGGTCACCAGCTTGATTTTTCCAATATATAAAAATAATATTGGTCGCCACATGAAAATATCAATCGCTGTGGCAACCAAATGAGTTGCAATTTTGAGGTTTGAATTTACTTAATATACTTCATTTTAACCTTGATTAACATGAATGAAACTAAGACTCACCACTGCTCCAATGATAAGGGTAACATCACAGAATATAGAATGTTCCTGCATTTGCTGATACAGCAGGTCCTGCACCCTGGAGGCATGTCGGTCCTTGGATCCCATAGTCCTAGTCAGCCCTTCCATCTCGGGGAACAGCTTGGCCATCACAAACCTGGGTCATTACCTACACTTAACAAATCAGTAACAGTGTTTTAAATTAGTATATGACTCTGCACCAAACTTTAAACTTTCAAAAGTTCATTTTCACAAGAATTTAACCTAGTTACTCTATACATAATCACCCCAAATGACATTTTACTTGACTTGTGCTTTGGAGAATTGGTTTGAGACACAGACTGCTAATGGATCAGTACAAACACTGAACTGTAAAGAGACACTTGTTCATGTATATACAGTCAAACACTGTTGTGTTGAAGTTGAAGGGGCCTTTGTAAACACATCGAGTTATCCCAGGTTTGACACAACCGAAACATGGTGAATCAAGAAGGTCAGGTGAAATGGGGTTTATTGTCAGGTCCAAGACTATTACACTTACATAGCGATGTGCATGCTCGTGTGTGTGTTTGGCTGCTTTTAATAGTCCGGACATATGCCAATTTATAGTGCTAGCTCCAGAGCTACAGATAAGCAGTGTATTTGCGTAAAATACCCCCCCAAAATATTCAAAATCCAATTACTTTCAATTAACATGCATACAGAAACACATGATTAAATTAAAAACTATAATGTATAAAAAACATTCACGTAAATACCCAATGAAGCTTTTTCAGCATGCACACAAAGGAGCTAATTTCCAAGACACAATTATGTGCTAATAAACTTTCCGTGTCAAGCCTATATATATACATATTTAGAATAGTTATATACATCTGAAGCATTATTATTTTTGTTCAAATCTTAAAATGTTCACTAACTTTGGGAAAAAACCAATAGAGCATAGATGAGTGAAAACATATTGGTTACCCAATGAAAATGTAATAACCCAAGTAAAATAGAAACCCTAGAGTAAAAACTCAAATGCTCAAAAGGTTATCCGTAGGTCACTGAGATACCATGCCGCAGTTTAACTTGAATACCCCACTCAGACTCAGTATACCGACTCCGAGCCGACCAGTCCTTGTCATAGCCCTTTAATGCCAAGCAGCAGACAGGGTAATAACAAGTACCATCTTTTAACGTCTTTTGGTATGACAGCCTTGGATCAAACACCGGACCTTCCGCTCTCCGGGTGGACGCTCTACCACTGGAAGTCGAATCAAGAAGGAATGCGTAGAGCCAAGCTTTTACTTGGCGACAACCGTAAGCTAGACACATAGATGTTCGACCCAACAGTGTTAGACTGTGTGACTAATGAGTACTGGACATATACTGCGATCCTCAGATGGGCATCAGCAAGTGCCACACCTTCAGCAAACATTGAAGCAACAGGTTAAGGCTCAAGTGATGATATAATAGCAATACAATTTACCCACTGACAAGTTGTGATTTATAAATTACCAAAAGAATCTTCTTTTTCTAGTCAAATGATTTCTAATCTAGACTCACAATGAAAGGGAGATAACTCTTTTTTCCTGGCAATTACATCTCTGAAGGACTTGAACCATAACATGTTTACCACTGCAGGAAGTGCTCCTACGACCGACAACTACAATTTCTTCTTCCCATTCTTTGCTTGTTTTGATTTATGACATAAGTACAGAAGTTTTAATGAAATGATTTAATTCTTAAAAAATCTGACCATGAGCAAGTGCCCACCAGGCAATTTTTTCGCCATGTTTTGTTCCATCTTTAACTAAATCTCTTTCGAAATCAGACTGGGTTCAATAACTTGCTCATGTTCAAATAATACATGGTGTCGTGAAAACCCCAAAACTCAGCCTTTCTAACATATCAGCCTCAATTCTGCATTTCACATAAAAGATAAAAATCTACAGGAACAGGTCCCTATCATCTCGTCCTTGTTACACATTTTTTAAGCGGTGTCCTCCCATTAGTTAGACGTCCCAATAGTTAGACAGCTTATAACAACACTTTAAATGGTTGAGTGCACACTAATCCTTATGCTTGTTACCTCAGACTTTAAAATGGAATAGTCCAGATAAGATCTGACAAACAAAGCAAAGCAGCTTTAACTAGATACTTGAATATTATACTTAACATTTAATGACACTTTACATTTGATAAATTTTATACAGTTTGTAACAACACTTTGTGACAGTTTTTGGTAATGTACACTTTACATTTTATAACTTTTACAGTTTATTTATCCCAGACGAAGCAAGTGTGCTAGGTGACAGAGGTCTGTTGAGTTGCTCTTGAACTTCTGTCTCTTCAGTTGTCGAAAAAGCCGGCCATAGGTTGTTGCTTGGCGATCTGGCAAAAGGGCGAACACTAGAGGGAAGATGTTGGGGCCAACTCTGGCATGAATGATGTATACTTGATCCCATAAACCCGGACATGCTGTGAAGGTACCATCCATGTAAAGGGTGTCGGCTTCCTGGAGGGCTTGTATCTGTTCTGCAGTGGAGAACGCCAGGATCTTGTCATCGTCGCCATTGCTTAACAGTAGAAAGGGAAGTCCATCTGTTGTCTCTGACCATTTGTCTTCAATGTCTACTGCTGACCGCGACCTGGGTAACGCTGGAATGTAACGCCTGAACAAGAGCAAAGGAACAGTTACACATATGTTACATGAAATATTGATAATGATTTCATTAACTTGAAATGTTTAAGAGTAAAACAAGTTATGTGGGACCTAAAAAAAAGAAGTAAATTCTAACCAAGTAAAAAATACGAGATGATATTTACCTGTAAAGTGCACTTTTCACGCTCTGAAATGATGGCATCATGCTGGCATGTTGGCTTCATCTACTTGAGTGACTTGCTCCTCATACAATGCCTGCATCTGTGTGGTTTCTTCTCAAGCTCTTTTACGAAGATTGCTGACAAAGTTCACTCTGGTTTCATCTTCAGGCGGATGGTTATGTTCCGACTGATTGCAAAGAAAGTCACCGACAGTCGTACATTTCCCATTGCACGTCTTGACGACACATCTCCAATTTTGAAGGTTTGCCTCTCGCGGTTTCTTTTGTAAATATAATTATCCATCTAATATCAACTGCTCACTTCCACGCCGAGAGGTGAGGTACTCTACTTTCCCTAAACCAGGTATATCGATACTGCTAATGATATGTACCCCAAGATCATTTTTATTTGTTTGAAGAGTAGATAATCTAAACTCAACTCCTTCAACTGATCATACAGTAAGACAATTAAGCTACATAGTTTACATAGTTAATCTCATGCCTATTGAACCTGTGCTGAGAGTAAGGTAATTTAGGTTGATTAAACGAAATTATAACACAGATACTCCCTAAACTGTGAGTCCCCTATCCCTACCCAGTACTTTAATCTAATTAGGACTGATCCATTACACCTGTAGGTATATTCCCTCTTTGCCTAAATAAACATGTCTAACAATTGGGACGTCTAACTAATGGGATATAACTGTTTAAGCCACAGTCAACTTAATTAGTTACATCATGGGAGCCATGTACACATCAAGTCTGGTCCAGGCCAAACAGCAGTAGAGCAATTTCTGTTTCAAAACAAAACAATTTCTCCCAAATAGACCTCACTGTGACCAATTCCACTGATATTTCACTCTACACTTGCACAAGTAATGTGTCTGTCACGTGACATTTCTATCATCAGTTGTAGGAAACACATGTCATAAAAAGGTTAGAATACAGAATACAAGATACCTTCCTCCATATTGGTAAGAAATATGCACAAGGGCCTTCCTAAGTAATGTTTCCTAATAAAGTTTTTATGCCACCATTTTAGCTGCCTCACTAAAATACAAGATGGTTTGGAATGCTATCATAAGTAAATGTCATTTTAGTTTCAAAGTTAAGCCCTAATGGAAAATATGTTTGCTGGAATGCATCCCAAGTGGATTCTCTGGTGTGATTGCTGAATGCCATTACAGAACTTATATTTTCATGAAATATTTCAATGTTGATGTAAAAAAAATTTAGTTTTAAGAAGTTTATGAATCTCTTTAATATTTGATTTTGATTTTGTGGTGTAATCATATTAAACCATACAAATGACAGGAATCGTTCTTGTGCTTCTTTGAGCTTTATCACACTATTCTAACATTAATGCTATTAGTAGCATCAAACAAACATGGCATATATATATATGTATATACTTGGGGTATCCGGCATTCTGTAGGAGTAGGCTACCCAGAAAAATAGATTTTACTTCCGTACGATGTGATCAGTGTAATTTTTGGAGGCTGAACGTCACAATGTCTGCTGAAGTGATAGCTTAGCGAGACATGACGTCATAAAAAATACCACGGATTGGTGAGTACCATGGATTGATATGTCGGCAGGATACATGTATTATAAGCCTCATGATGCCTGGTCCGAATCCCCTATAAACAAGCCCCCATTCGTTTACTACATGCCCTCGTAATCCAGGCACTTAACCTAACCTGCTCCGTGAGTCAGCATGGCACGCAGACTGAGTCTAGAAGAAGCATGAAGAGTTCAAGGTATTCAAAATCCAACATAAAAATTCACCAATGACACGATGCATATGACATGTTTTGTCAATGTTCGACACAATGTTGCAGACGATGCTACCTTCTCGATCATCGATGGTTAACAAACAGGAAGTTGGCGCGAATGATGTGAATGGTGTGTTCGCGCGGGGTGTTCATTGCTTTTCTGTGAACACAAAATTCACGAACTCGTACTAAGTGGTAGATTTCCCGCTCAAAACAGATAGAAAGTGTAGTGAGTGAGTGAGTGAGTTTGGTTTAACGCCGCTTTTAACAGTATTCCAGTTATATCGCGGCTTGTCAGCTTAATGTGGGAGGAAAGCCCGAAGTGATGCAGGTCACAGACGTTTACCACTTCGGTGAAACCCACGGGCACGGGTATGGTGCTGACAAACCTAGAAACATAATCGGGGCGAACCGGGATTCGAACCCACAATCATAGATTTCTGGCGTGCCCAAGGGACGCAACTCTGCACAGCGAAATCGCGGCGCCTTAGACGACTGGGCCACCCGTGCCCCCGAAAGTGTAATGAAATAATTGTTCTGCTAGTTGGTGGCGGGAGTCGAATGCAAAACTATGTAATTTTATTTTACACTGGAATTTCTGAAGCGATATTTTCACTGTAGTGAGCATAACACTTACAAGAGTTACCTCCCCGCAAATTGTCTCTATTTTATGTGTCGAGCCCGTACACAAACTGTTGACTGTTTACGTTAGTTCCACACTGACAAGACAAAATAATGACAGATAGTCATTTATGGAGTTAATGTCGTCGCTTCTTGCCGTTTGTTATTCTCTTGAAATGGTTTCGTTATAAACTGTAATTTTCCTATTTAACTCGTCAATCGAGACTTCGTTTCGCAAAGCGCCATTTTTGTTACTTAACCAGCGTGTATTCTTTCGCTTTCAACAGCGGTTTTGCATATTTGAAGATTTTTTAAAGGATTTTGCAAACACGGAACTACTGTTTAAGTGTGTTAGGTAGGGGGACTTCAAGGTTTTACAATTTGTGTGTGTACTTCGCCACTCGTGAAAATGTGAAAATATCCAGCAGTTGTGTTCAGATCTTGACGCAGAGAGCTTTCTTTTGGGAGTAAATTATCAGATATCAAATTATCAGTTATTTGTGTAGTACAAATCGACGGAGAATGGTAAAAATATTGTTTGTTTCCCTATATAAAAATATAATAATATATCCGAATATATTAAATGGGCACTGGGCTCCAATCTCATTAAAATCAGATCTTAGTTCTCGCTAGCCCAAAACAAATTTTAAGATCTGATTTTAATGAGATTGCACTGGGCTCTGGCTTCTACGCGACTGTCTAACACTGCCCCCTAGGTTCTCATTACATAGGGGGCGGTCGGGTAGCCTAGTGGTTAAAGCGTTCGCTCGTCACGCCGAAGACCCGGGTTCGATTCCCGACATGGGTACAATGTGTGAAGCTCATTTCTGGTGTCCCCCGCCGTGATATGCTGGAATATTGCTAAAAGCGGCGTAAAAACAAACTCACTCACTCTCATGCCGCGAGTCGATTTGCTGGCTACTATAAGCGCGATAAGAGACTGGGCTACCGTCTGTAGGGATAGCGGAAATATATTTTGAGACAATATCTATACCCATTTCAGAACACTGAAGGATTACCCGCGATCTATGAAGATTTCGATATTACAAAGGGCGCATGTTAATTCGTGGGTTTTTTTCAACCCAAACAAACAGACAAAAGGAAAGGTGGAATCTCATTGGATGTCGTTATTTGGAAATACCCTTGATGGTTATATTTGTATTTTTAAAAACATACCCCCGCAGTGAAAGCATTTTGGGTTTCTGAATGCGTTGGTGATAAGATGACGAAGATTGAATTGGATCATTCATGGGTTTCATAGCTTGATATTAAAAATAAACATTTGAGTTTTTTAGACCGTAAATTACAAGGCACACTTTATTAAAACGTCGAGATCTGGGAGAAGGGCAGACATTCTGGAACATATAACACGTCCTACATGAGCAAAACTGTTAGATGATTTGATTACTAAACAAAACGTCATACATTTTAGATGTGCGGCCGTTTTCGCTGTTTTGGCATGGGTACCATTTGTGCAGCTATATAAATGCATGATCTCTGATCAAACGAAAACAGGAACATTCATCAATTTGCAGTTGCAGTCTCACGTTTACATCTCAACATTCAATACGACCCGTGAAGATCCGGGGTAGATTAGGTCTTCAGCAGCCCATGCTTGCTGTAAAAAGCGACTGTGCTTGTCGTAGGAGGCGACTAACAGGATCGGATGGTCAGGCTCGCTGACTTGGTTGATGCACGCCATCGTATCCTAATTGCGTCTATCGATGCTCATGATGTTAATCACTGGATTGTCTGGTCCAGATTTGATTATTTACAGACCGCCGTCATATAGCTGGAATATTGCTGAGTGCAGCGTTAAACAACAAATAAACAAACAAACAACATTCAATACCCATGAAACACGCGCTCTTCTAAAGCTAAAATAATGTTCTTGGGATTTAACTTAACCATTCTCGCAAATACAACAAGAAGTGTGCCGCGGAAAAGCTCCTTCCCAGTGCGTGACACCTTCGTTACCCAACTAGACTGGTTCCGTTCGTGCTGAAGTCAGGGCAAGAGTAGACTGGTTCCGCTTGGCGTCTCTGTGCTTGCTTAGACTGGAACGAACATCATAGAGAGCTCAGTGAACGGGTTATCGCTGTGAGATTGTGAAGAAGGTGTCACGCGCTGGAAAGGAGCTTGGCGCATTGAGAAGCTCCTCACAGCGATAGGCCGTTCGCGGTGCTCTCTAGAGCTTGGCGCATAGAAACTAAGGGGAGGTCACTCTCAATATTATTGTAAAACGCACGACTGTGTAAAGGTTTGAGTCAACGATTACTTTCTTACTTTGGCTTTTACTAAATGGAGACAGACACCCATGAAACCAAAAGACCAAAAGCTGGTATGTGTAATTTCAAAAAATAAGATGTAGATGCACATATATGTTGACATTACTAATCCCGACCTGTCTCCACAATTGTTTCAGTCCATATTCGACATTGCCAAATGTGTACGAAGTGTTGCTATACATGTTTTCAGAACCGTAAAAATAGAACAGGCGTTTATTCAAGTCAAACCTTCAGGGTTTCACCTATGAAAATAATGGATATATTTTTAAGAGTTGTCATAGCGACCAATTTGGGACATTTTATTCCAAAGGCTAATTAGCCTACTACGTAACCATGACATGTAGCCTGCAACCTCGGGGTATCGCGGGACTTGTCATGTACGCTAACGGAACAAAATGCACTCACTAACCTTTATGATTATTCGTGTTCTCTATATCAGATGTCATTTATTTTATCTAACAATGCATATTTTACTGATAAAAGTTCATTGTTTACATTAGTAGCTCCGAGTAAAAGCCGGGCCTCGCGCTCAGTTTGACAAGGGAGAGAACTCCATCGTATCGCGGTACAGAGAAAAGTTGTGTATGGAGGTCCGAATTGGACAAAAAGAGGACATAATTCTACCAACCGCTTGGTATGATCATGCCAGACATCAGTGATTTGTCCAGACATGTGCAAAGACAGCACAAGTAAAATTCTAAATGTGTTATCAGCAATAGGTATTCAATGCATTTTTACCGAAAAGTAAGAGAAAAATATTTTTATAAGTCAACAACAAAATATCAGAAATGATATTTTAAGATTGTTTAAAAAAAATTGGATGACAATAATTTGTCACAAAATGGAAAAATGTTAAAACTCAACAATAAATATATAAAAAGCACTCCTAGTATGCCCAAAGTATGTATTTATCTTTTGGTTACTAGTGAAGAACGTATTTCTAAGTTTGGCATTATGGCCCTTATTATCTCCCAATAGATTCTGGGCACAGAGCGGGGAAAAATGTACGGACTACGTAACTTCCGTTACCTCATTAGTCGCCATGAATATGCAGATGATCTAGTTCAGGTCGATAGAGAAAGTTTACTTGGGGAACTGCGGGTTATATCGTTGGCCATTGATAGATGGGGGTAAGGCAATATTACAGATGCCAGAAATATGTATCAACGGATTAATAACTCCTTACTTACAGCAGACGGAACATTCCGAGGAAATTGAAATTGTTTACGAAGTGAGCACTTCCTGGTTACTGATTTGCATTAATAGATAGCCACTAAGAGGCGTGTCCCGCGTGAACTATCGGAAATCATAAATGCTGCGATACGATGAATGCCGCGGTACCACGGGGTCCGAGTATATATATGTCTTGAATCACGTGAATCACTGGGGCAGTTGCATGGGTAGTCTAATGGTTAAAGCGTTTGCTCCTCATGCTGAAGACCCTGGTTCAATTCCCCACATGGGTACAATGTGTGAAGTCCATTTCTGGTGTAAACAGTAGATTTTAATGAGATTGCACTGGGCTCTGGCTTCTACGCGACTGTCTAACACTGCCCCCTAGGTTCTCATTACATAGGGGGCGGTCGGGTAGCCTAGTGGTTAAAGCGTTCGCTCGTCACGCCGAAGACCCGGGTTCGATTCCCGACATGGGTACAATGTGTGAAGCTCATTTCTGGTGTCCCCCGCCGTGATATGCTGGAATATTGCTAAAAGCGGCGTAAAAACAAACTCACTCACTCTCATGCCGCGAGTCGATTTGCTGGCTACTATAAGCGCGATAAGAGACTGGGCTACCGTCTGTAGGGATAGCGGAAATATATTTTGAGACAATATCTATACCCATTTCAGAACACTGAAGGATTACCCGCGATCTATGAAGATTTTGATATTACAAAGGGCGCATGTTAATTCGTGGTTTTTTTTCAACCCAAACAAACAGACAAAAGGAAAGGTGGAATCTCATTGGATGTCGTTATTTGGAAATACCCTTGATGGTTATATTTGTATTTTTAAAAACATACCCCCGCAGTGAAAGCATTTTGGGTTTCTGAATGCGTTGGTGATAAGATGACGAAGATTGAATTGGATCATTCATGGGTTTCATAGCTTGATATTAAAAATAAACATTTGAGTTTTTTAGACCGTAAATTACAAGGCACACTTTATTAAAACGTCGAGATCTGGGAGAAGGGCAGACATTCTGGAACATATAACACGTCC